TATATATTTTTAGTTGTCCAGATCATTTCTTTCTATTTTTTGGTAGAGACGGGGTCTCGCTCTTGCTCAGGCTGGTCTGGAACTCCTGACCTTGAGCGATCCACCCGCCTCAGCCTCCCAGAGTGCTAGGATTACAGGCGTGAGCCACCACGCCTGGCCTGGAATACTTATTTTTATCTCTATATGTCTTCATTATTTATTAGTTCTTTCATTTTGGTTTTCGCCATTTCTTCTCACAAAAAAGTGCCTCAAATTTGTCTCCAACATCATCGATTAGATTTTTCCCATGGTGCCAATTCTACTATTTTATGCCTGAGATATAGTTTTAAGGAAGCAACTGAAGAAAGAATATGGACTTAAAAATTGGAGAGACTGTGGTCTCAAATCCCAATTATCCTATTTTTGACTGTATGATACAGGCAAACTACTTAACCTCTTTGTTTATAAAATTTCTCATGTGCAAAATAAGAGTCCCAACACTCTGCAGGATTAACATGAGAATTAGAAATAATATTTATAAAGTTATTACAGTGCCTGATTTGTAATTGGAACATAATAAGATGAACCTACCATTATTATGAATTCTCTTATTGTGGAATTTTCTTTATTTCAGACTCCTTCCTTTTTAATCTCAGCCTGCTCTGTACATTGGACTCCCTGCTCCTGTTTCAAAGAGGTCCAATCTCTTCAAATTTTATTAAAATAGGTAATATTGAGTTGTGGTTAAGAGAGTGGATTCTGTAGTCAGACTGCCAGTGTTTGAATCCTGGTTCTAACACTTACCATGTAACTTTGGGCAAGTTATTCAACCTTCATGATTTAGTTTCCTCATCTATAGAAATAAAATCTCATAATTTTGTTATTTGTATTAAATGAGTAAATATATATAAAGTGCTTAGAACAGTGACTGAAAGATAGAAAGTAGTCAGGTACCTAGTAAATGAAAGCAGGTATTCCTCTTCTATTTCCTAAAGTTAATCATTTCAAAAGCATTATGTTTTCCTCTAAGTCCTCCAGAAACATTCCCTCCTTTTGAGCTAGAAAATCTCTTCCTAAATATTTTTTCCTAGCATACTTATTTCTAAAAGAAAAGAAGCCTATTCAGGCCTGGTATTTATTAAGAGAGGCTGGGTAAATTACACTTAGCCACTTCACACTTGTATGCCCCTCAACATCTAAACTGGACCTTAGGTAAATGGACAAAACCTTTGATCATTCCCTGGTTATCCATTTGATTTAGAATTCTTGGCCTAAACTGCATTTTGTTCATGGCTCACAACCAACCCCCAGTTCTCTAACAATGAGAGAAAATACGAACTTCCTTGACCAATGGGGTCCATAAAAAGACTATGCAGACAATTGTTTCTAGTTTCTTTCTGCTTTTGCTCAATGTAATCCAGTCCATCTGAGGAAAGGGCATATACCAATATTCAATGTTCCATCCTCCATATTCCACTATTCCCTACCATATTACGTACTGGTGCCAGTATAAAAAGCACATTCTATTTTACGCTAGGATTCACTATGGGAGATCTAACCTGTCCAATTCTGTCAGCAGTTCTAAATTGGTGTGCAGTACTATACTGGTATACTCTGAGCCCTTACATGTATGTGGCTGAATTCTGGCCAACATTATTACTTATTTCTGCCTTGCTTCAGAATATATATACTGTTATATTGATGGCTGCCAGATAGAATAGTAAAATGAACAGGTAAATACATGAAAAAACAGGTAAATCATGAAAAATAAAGGGGTAAAACTTGCTACAAGCAAAACATAGGATGTATAATCATCCTAAAACTCCTGCTAACAAAATACTATGTACCATTTACCAGGACACGTAAGAACTTAGTGATATTTTTGTGTGAAGACACAAGAGATTATGGTCAAAGGAGTAAAAAGTAGAACTGAAGTAGTGAGATAGGTGCAATGAATAGTTCATTAACTGTGGATGCTATTTCAGACTCTTTATGATACCACGGGAATCAGGCTGTAGTTAGTTGCTGATTTGTTTAGTATTGCTTTAGGTTAGGTTCTGTATTTTCAATCTCTTCAAGTGTGCTGCCAAAAATCTATCATTTGAAAGTGTGCCTCAAGCATAAAAGGATAATTATTGCCTCAAGGCCATTAATCTCTCCTGGGTCTGCTGGGTAGGATCACACAGAGTAAGTTTAAATAAAGACAAGCCACTGAATATCTGAAGAAAGATATTTCTTCCTAAGTTCTTCACAATTCTGAGTTAAAATTTTTGATTTTCTTCAAAATTGTGTATCGTGGCTAATTTTGACTTTATTCATTATCCCTGTTAATTCTCACCAGTGTGTCTATGTTCTTCATGTAGAACAGCACTCAAGACTGAACTCAATACTTCAAGAATGATGTTGATTCTAATGTAAACTTTATTTTACCATGTGTTATTGACCATGACATAGATTTACTGTTTTTAGTTTCCAAAATTCCTTAGAATTTTAACATGGAAGCCATAATTTTATGCAGATATATGGCACTAAATTACCAAATGATCAATACTCACTGAGATGTTTTCTCTAGATTTGACAAGTTTTTTCTTGAGTTTTTTTCTTTCACATATTAGATCATTGTGGATCTTAAGCAATTCTTCAAAGCGAACTTTGGTTTTTGCTTTTGCTTCACTCTCAACTGCAAAAGACAAAGACACATCATTTTCTAAACAACTCTATTATAACACATACCTGAATTATTGTTACGTTAAGGAATACGGTCTTGTAAACACCTGTATGAGTTCTCTAGCTACATTAGAACCAGTCTCTCCATCTTAAAATACTTTTCCTTTTCACTTTGGTGACAACACACTCACCTGTATCTCTCTTACCTTTTTGGTCACTACTGCTAAGAATAAAGTCTCCTTTGCTAACTTTTTACTTCTGATGCACAATAACATCTACCACTGTTAGTTATGTGTTATGTGACTTTAGACAAGTTACTTAACATCACTAAATGTCATTTTCCTTATATGTAAAATCACAATAATCCTATGTCAAAGATCATTTTGCATGAAAAATGGCTAACCTGCCTAGCCTGTAATCAGCATTCAGCAATATTAATGGTCGCTTCTCCTTTAAAACATAAATTAGATCATGTTATTCCCCTGCTAAGACCCCTAAAACAAGTCCTTCAAATGCCCTGCAGGTTTTGCACTTCCTGACCTGACTATCTCTAAAGCTTCAAATCAATACAAATATCCTCTAGATATTTACATTCTAGCCATACTGCCCTTCTTGTAGCTCCTCCATCAGAGCAAGCTCCTTCCCACGTGAAGCTGCTTCCACCTGGAACAAGCTTCCTCTAACTCCTCACTTGGCTGATGTTAAGCTGTTTAAATGTTGCCTCTAAAATGGAACATTTAGAGGCTGACAACCTCATCTAAATTTTCCTTTTTCTCACATAGCAGGCTGTTGTCTTCCTTCATAGTGCTTAACCCAAGTGGAAACTGTACAATTATGTTGATATCTATCTAAATAAAAATATTGTCTGTCTCTCCCACTAAACTCTGTAGTTCATAACTATATCCATAACTACTATCATGAGGTATGGCATAGAGTAGGTACTCAATAAATATGTCTTAAATGAATAAATGCTGAATGAATGAATGCCCCAGAGCAAGTGTTGGCAAATTATGGCCTGCAGGCACCTGTGTTTGTAAATAAAGTTTTATTGAAATTTATGACTGCTTTCATGCTTTAGTGATAGAGTTGAGTAGTTGTAGCAGAGACCAAGCCTAAAATATTTACTAGATGGCCTTTTAAGAAAGATTTCCAACGCCTGCTGGAGAGTAAGACATCCAATTTTGATGATAAAGAATAAAAACTAACCATATGTTACAATCATTATTTACCTTGTCCAGTTGAGTCCCAAACTGCGATACACTGAATACATACTAACCTTAATCACCAACATTAAATAGAAAATTGAATATAAAACTAATAAATATCTCTAAATGTAATATTTGGTCAATGACATCTACTTTATTCATTAATCTGTTAAAGAACCCCTTAAAATAAACCAGACAAAAATAAATGTATAAAATATCAAGTATGTACATAAATTTCATAAAAGTCTTACCAGTGGGCATATCTCAGCTTTATGGAGAACATTGAGAATGTAAAGCATTGATTCAATCAGGATCCTATTAAAACAAAGAGGATTTATTTGTAATATGGAACTCCAAAATAAAAACTATTACAATATTCTCCATGCAAGATTATGCCATTGCATTTCCACTACTTCATTAGGTTTATAGTAACAAAACCATATTTCTTTAGTCCAATCTTATGCAAATGACTTGAATATATTTGAATCAGCTTAGGGTCCTGAAATCAAGTGAAGCAAACTGGATCATATTTGAATAAAATATTTTATATATTTGAAATGAAAAACAAAAATCATTCTGAAAGGCAGCAATCATCTAACTTGGTATTGTTAACAAACTTTTTAAAGTGTTTCAACAAATTAATGAACATTTCAACGTGCTCTTGGGACTGACTTTCCCAAGAGCATACACTATTACATTAGTAAAGTATGCTTGTGGGAAGCGCCCTCACAGGTAATGAGTATCTCTGTAACTGCCACTGAAAATTCTGCTACAACAGAGAAGGTTAGCACAAGCATTTGTACCATCTTTCTGGAATAAATACCTAAGTATGCATTATTCTGTGTCAGAGCTATTCAAAACCATGGAAATTCCTGAATTGCCAATTTTATTTAAAAATGGAAGCATGTGTCTAAAATAAACATTAATTCCCACATTAGGACACAATATGCATAAATTTTTAAGAATAAAACTGATGACTGCCACACTTACACACATTCCGTGCTCCAGCCATGCGAAACTACCTGCAGGACCTCAAATGTGCCAAACTCTCTTGCCTCTATACCATTTGTATCATTACACGTACACCCCTCTCTCCAAAAAAAATGCCTTTACTCCTTTGTCATTCTATACAAACTCCTCATTGTCCTTTGACATTACATGCAAATGGTACATTAGAGGTGCGGAGAGGGAACAGTCTCACCTGAAGGGCAGGTAAGTACTTCTTTATGCTCCCAGAGTCCCTTGATCTTCATACCTCACTCTACTTCAACCCTGAATTTTTACTATGGTAAAATGTGAACTCCACAAAACTGCTAGCTTTTGGAGGGCCAGGCCTATGCTCTCTTTATCTATGTATTCCTATTAAAAAAAAAAAAAAGGCAGTAATAATGGTTCTAGAGACAAAGTCTCAGGCTTGAGCTCTTATTCTGCCGCTTACTGATGTGTGCTCTTGGACAAGCTACTTAACTTTACTAAGCCTCGGTTTTTTTCTTGCCTGGGAAATTAAAATGGCATCTACTTTATTGAACAAAGGAAAGAAAATATCAAAAAGCAAAGTAATTAGCACGTGGCTCAATAAAATTACTTTATGTCAATTATTACAATATTAAAAATAAGT